GGGAGCCTCGCTGGAAAATCAACACCGGTTGCATAGTATACCTTTAAAGTATAATAGTCTCGCCTCAAATTATCTTAAAACTTACTTTTATTGAACAGCAACAGAAAAGAGAACTTTTAACTTTCAATGGGGGCTCCATTGTAAGATGCTGCCGCAGTGCATGCTGGGACAGCTGTCAGTCTCAAGAACGGAAAAGTGTGCTCTGATGCATGCTGGGTAAATAGGGAGGGGTGAGAACAACATCCAGGAATTGGTCCATTGGTCCATTCTCGGTCTGGCGTTCTCTGCAATTGGAGCATTGCTCGGGCTGAGGCTCATGACGTATCACGAGAAGACAGAAACGGCCAGAAGTCCAGTCTTGTTTTTGGCAGCCATCTTTGATTTAGTCTTAGTTTAGGTCTTCAGGACGAAAACTATTATTAGTCTTTGTGGCATTTTAGTCATTACGATATGTGATAGTTTTAGACAGTTTTATGTTTTACTTCATCAAACAGTTAATCTTTACAATTTGAAATAAAAACCAGATTCTTTCCCAGACTAACAGCTCTATCCTACAATAGCTGGGTATAGAATGCTGCCGTGCAGATCAATACTTTTGGGCAGAAAACTTTGATTTATCAAATTCAAATAAACTTTCTTATGAATTATTGCCCTAATTTATAAAAAAAAAAGAGTCTCACAGAAGCTGTGAAAATAGCAGATCTAGTTCAACACATCCTATTGGTTAATATAGCAGATAAGCTGACAAAATGTCCAATAAAGGAATGATTTTATGATCCAAGGTTTCCCTCCCAAAGGAAACACTTCCTGCATTAAACACAGATCAATAAAATCTTTATTGCTCCAGAAAAGCTGCTCAGGGGTCAAAGTAGATTTAAATTTACAGGGTTTGATATAAAAAAAATACACAGAGAACCTACATTATTACCTTTTAATGCCATGGCAACCCGGACGATTTCAATACGTTAACTAAGATGTTGAAATATTAAAATAGATATGAACAAGAAATATGAGAGAGAAATATTCAAAGATCGATGTACCTTTTCATCTTGGTCTTTATCCAAAAATAAACAGAATGCAATAAAATAACTTCTTTGAATATAATTTAGGGATTCCTTTAGGTAAAAATTTGAGAAGGTTTAGTATCACCTTTTGTGAGCTGGAAGTAATAAAATCTTAAGAGTTAGACAAAGGGATTTTTCACGCTTGGCAGAGGATGATCAGCCAATTTCGATTCCGTTTATTTCTATAGTGCCAACTCACAACATATCATCTCAAATCACGCTGGAAGACCCAGCCTCCACCCATCTGCTATACTCCAATGGAGGGAAGGAGGTTGTTCCCTAAAATCTCCCAATACATGGCCCCAGTCATCCTCTACTTATTACAGAGCAGTCGCCCTGTCCCATGTGCAGAAAAAAACCCCAAAGCATCATGCTACCACCCCCATGCTTCACAGTATGGTGTTCCCTACTTTCTCCCATGACTCCTGTGGATCATCCTAATGGTTATTGGCAAACTGCAGACGGGCCTTGACATGTGCTGGTTTAAACAGGGAACCTTCCCTGCCATGCGTCATTTCAAACCATGACGTCTTAGTGTACAGTAACCATGGAAACGGTGGTTCCAGCTCTTTTCAGGTCATTGACCAGCTCCCGTAGGTGTATAATTTAGTCTCTAGCAGGGTGGTTCTTAACCTTTTTGAGGTTTCCTTTGTGCATTCACTAAACACTTCTGTAGTGATAAATAAAATATGTAAAAAATTTTCGAAATCCAACACATGGGTGTGTGTTTTTAACTGGGCCGTACATGAACATCACCTCGCTCAAAGAACAAAACCAACACAGTGCATGAGCTCACAGCAAATTATAATATTTTACAATTACGACAGCCGTTTAATACGCACTAAAGCCACCGCAGCACTGATTGGCCAAGCAATGTGATGTCATCCTCTGCAGCTGGTGATGGCGTGTTGAGGAAAAAAAACCAAAAGCGGGGCGTGTCACCACGAACTTTACAAAACTGTGTCTTTACCTCTGCAGCAGAGGTGCTGCTGAACCCCTGAGACGAACTCATCGATCCACTAGGGTTCGATTGATCCACTAGGGTTCCATCGGACGCTGGCTGTTCTAGTGTCTGTGGACAGCTCTTTGGTCTGGGCCATGTTCATAGTTGGATTCTTACGCGTTGTATGGGCTGGAAGGGTGTCTTTATGCAGCCAACCACCCCAAACAGATAGATATAATTTAGGAGAATAAATTGAGGTGGACATTTTGAAGGCAGACTAACAGGTCTTTGAATTCTAGCTGATCGATAGGCCTTTAAATACTTATTTGAAGCTGAATCATACAAATAAATAGTATTTAAGAAATCATATATTGTGATCTCCAGACTTTTTTATGTAGATTATGTCTCTCACAGTTGGACATGAACATACAACGACAATTTCAGACCCTCTATGATTTCTAAATGGGGGAAGTTGGATTATAGCAGGGGGGCTCAAATACTCCCATTTCTTGCAGAATTTTTTTTAATTGCGTTTGTAAGTGAGTCCTCCTTCTTTTTCTGTTAATTTAATCCAAGTGCCAAGAACAGGCACTCAGTACAAGATCAATAGAGGCCAGGGTCTACCACACCAGGCAGGACCCCCGATGCAGACTGTGCAAAGATGCCTCTGAAACAATACAGNAACTTCCAATATTCATCACAGTTCGGCGCCAAGTAACCTTTCCTCTGATCACAGCTTGCTTGGTCTCGCAATGAATCCTGGGTAAACCAAGAATACCGAGGATACATCGGACCCGTCCTTCAAATCGGGCTAAAAGAAGGACGCATTTTAAGGCCGCATAACGAGGACTCTTGGAATCTGACCAGACCTCAGCGCCGCGCTATGACGTAATCGGCCTTCAAATCTGGCCTTCTAAGGACGCGTCCTAGGTTTTCGAAGCATGGGAGTGGTGCAGGAGCGGGAGTCATTCTGACTGGGAGCGGGATGGGAGTGGGAGTAATTTCACCAGGAGTGGGACGGGACAGGATCTAGATTTCTACTCTGGATCGGGACGGGACACTATTTTTTTCTGTGGGAGTGGGACGGGACAGGAGTGAAAATCCACTCCCGTGTCAGTCTCTAGTCACCACCCACACCTGTGTTAATGGACCAATCACTGAAACCATGTTAGCTGCTCCTTTAAGGCAGGGCTGCAATGACGCTGAAATGTGTTTTGGGAGATAAAGTTTATTTTCTAGGCAAATATTGACTTTGCAATTAATTGCTGTTATGCTGATCACTCTTTAGAACATTCTGGACTATATGCAAATTTCCGTTATTAAAACTGAAGCAGTAGACTTTGTAAATATTAACATTTGAATCATTCTCAAAACTTTTGACTGTACAGCCAGACCACCAACATCATCCAGTAGCCTGTTAGCGGTTCCTAACAGTTAGCATCATGTTAGCGGGACGCCAGCTGTGCAGAATAGAAATGCTGGAGCTTCATTCAGGGATTTTAAATGCTGCCTTTTTAACTGAAATTGGTCGACGACGTCACCTTGAGGGTTTTTCTCATGCAGACATTGAGTAACATTTATATGCTGTGTGTTTAGAGCTCCTGTATGAGGACGTGTTTGCCGTGTGGGAGGTGATCTGGGTGGCCCCCAGGATCTCCTCTCGGCACTTTGTCCTCTTCCTGGCCCTGGCTCTGGTCACCGTTTACCGTGAGATCATCGTAGACAACAACATGGACTTCACCGACATCATCAAGTTCTTTAACGGTACGCTCATGTTGTGTTTGGTTTGATTTACATTCTGCCATCAGTAACTCGTGTTTATTAATCACACCACAGCAAATCTTGTTTGGTGTGAATCCTATTCTCTACTGTGTGGGGAAAGAAAACGATCTGGCGATTTATCTTGATTGCCTAATATAATATTTCGATCTTTCAGTTCCCTTTTGCAGTTTGCTTTTTTAAAAACAAAACATTTTTACCTGAAACAATGAGGCTACCTCTGCACCGCCCGTCTGCCAGATGGCGCTGTGGAGCCCGTTAGCTGTGTGGTGCAGCACCATATCTAGCTGAGGCAGTCACAGCGCAAGACTTGGACCAACTGTGGATCTGTCCAAAGCATTTGACTCTGTTGACCATAAGCTATTACTAGATAGACTAATTAACATTGGCATAGGAAACACAGCTATTACTTGGTTCAAAAACTATCTTACAGAGCGAACGCAATGTGTTTCTATAGATGGTCTTAAATCAGACTTTTTAGAAATTTCTATGGGTGTTCCTCAAGGTTCGATTTTAGCCCCCATCTTATTTTCTATATTCATAAATAACATTGGAAAGGACGTGCAAACTGCATCTTTATGCAGATGACACTGTGATTTATTCAGTTGCCTCTTCACTGAACCAAGCCATGCATGACCTTCAGTTGGCCTTTCAGCAGCTTCAAGTTTCTCTACATGGCCTTAAGTTAGTGCTAAATAGTAAGAAAACCAAATGTATGACGTTTTCAAGGGCTCGTTCCCAATCCCCAGATAATATAACTATTAAAACATTAAATGGAGACTTAATTGAAAATGTTTCTTCATATAAGTATTTAGGTTTTTGGCTGGACAACAAACTGTCTTTCAAAGTTCATGTTGAAAAACTTGTAAAAAAAGCTGAAACTACGGCTGGGGTTTTATTTTAGAAATAAAACTTGTTTTAACAAGTCAGCCAGAAAAACACTTGTGCAGGCTACTTTTTTAAGTGTTTTGGACTATGGTGATGTTGTCTACATGCATGCTGCCTCTAGTACTCTCCACCTGTTAGATTCTGTGTACCATAGTGCTTTGTGCTTCTTAACTAACTCCTATTCCCGTACTCATCATTGTACGCTGTATGAACTGGTAGGCTGGCCGTCACTAAGTCTACGTAGACAACTTCATTTGTATATTTTTCTATACAAGGCCATGTTGGGTAAACTGCCGGCTTATTTATGTAATCTCCTCAAGCTAAATTCCAGCCATTTTCATCTCCGTTCCACCAGGTGGCGCTCTTACCAGGTTCCAATGGTTT